GGATAAAAATATATGTTTATAAAAAATAAAAAAATAAATACTTGAGGGAGGATGCATAAAACAAAACAAAACAAAACAAAACAAAACAAAACCCATGTCTCCAAGTAGCTGGCCCAACCTCTTTTCATTCCTTCAAACTGTTCCTTTAACCCAGAGAGAGAGAGGGCTTAAAACTGCTGGAACAAGGGAGAGGGGACATACAGTGAATTTCCACTTTCCAAAAATAATTGACTCAACAAATACACATGAGAGAAGTTGTGGGACACAGAAGAAAGAAGAACGTAGAAAACTAGAAAAAAAATCTGAGTTTGGTTGTGGTGCACTGGCAATAGCAGCAGCCAGTGGAACTGTACAAAAGAAAATGACAGTTAATAGGGAAGGTTCTGGATGCAGAGAGTAAGAACCAAAAAACTCAACCAGTCAGCGCAGAAGGGAAGCCCACTGCTTTGTGTGCTTTCTCTTTGTGTGGGAATGGGTCAACTTAATATTGTCATCTTTATAGGCCCAGGTTGACAGGCTTCATTCTGCCATGAATGAGAGTATGGCAGTCCTTAAGGTATGAGCGGTAGGTGGAAAATGCCTGCCACTTTAGTCTTTAAGAACATCTTTGAGTTATCTCAGCCATCTCCACTAGTACAATTTAGCCTTCTAGAGCTAAGGACAATTGCTGACCAACAGGCTTTCACCTCTCCTTCCCTTAACCAGCTACGTTTACATTTATTTCTACTGTTCATAACCACCAATTGTTTTTCCTAATGATTACCTTGTGATTCAGTACATTCAGTCTAATGAGCCAGAGTGTACATAATACATGGTTGAAATTTTTACAGAAAATATTGTTACCTATTTAACATGTAAAGAATTGAAGTTCAGCTAGACAGCATAGTTTATGTAGCAGTGCTGATTGCTACAACCAACAGAGATTTTATTGGAAATGTAATGTGATAATAAAAGCAGTTAACCTCCCTTGAGTCCATACTGTGCCTCTGTACCAGTGGTAAGCACATTCACATCCTTACCTCTTTCCATCTTCCCAGGAACACTTTAGTGGGGGATGACATGGTTTCTACTTTATGGGTGAACAAACTGAAGTTAACAGAATTTAATCACTATGCCCAAGAGCTTGTACTTAAATCCTTAAAGCCCAGTTTTGAGCCCAGACCTCCTTGATCTTAAAAATCTCCTAAACGTTTCCACTCTGAATCAATCACTCACATTTTCAAGGCTGATCAATAACAGCTCTGCTACCTAATAGCAATGTAACCTTGGGTAAATTATTTAACTACACTGTGACTTTGTTTCTTAATCTGAAAAGTGAGGGCAATCATATATTTATCATAGGATCATTGTGAAGATCAAATCAATTAATATGTGTAAGGTATTTAAAAGATCTACCTAGCCACTATTTTTATATGTTAGCTGTAGTTATTGAACATAATAATTGAGATGACAGTGAAGCCATGCTCTCTTTCTTAAAAACTCAAAATGAATAGCCAAACTCAGTATCTCAGTATGACTTTGTGTGCTCCAGCATTAAGACTGATCATATATGTGTATATATTCTTTGTACCACCATACTCTTCTAGCAGTTTAATCTAAATAAAACAACAGAGGAAAAAAACTGCAGAGATCTAGGAGCATTAATTTACTCAAAATTGAATTCACATGTAATTTTGTAAAACATCAATTGGGAAAACTCTTTTGTGTCTATCTTTAAACTTCTCTGAGTTCCTAAAATAAAATTTGTATTTGATATAAAACGATAGGATGGCATCTTTTTTTTTAATTTTTTTTTTAAATTTGACAGACAGAGATCACAAGTAGGCAGAGAGGCAGGCAGAGAGAGAGGAGGAAGCAGGCTCCCTGCAGAGGAGAGAGCCTGATGCGGGGCTCGATCCCAGGACCCTGGGATCATGACCTGAGCCGAAGGCAGAGGCTTTAACCCACTGAGCCACCCAGGCGCCCCCAGGATGGCATCTTTGACAACTGGGTTTTGGGAAACTTAAAAAAAAAAATAGGTTTAAAAGAGCCAACATAATATTGAAGAGGAAGAACAAAACTAAAGGACTGATAATACAGGACTCCGATACTTATTATAAACTACAGTAATTAATACATTGTGGTATTGGTAAAAGAACAGACAAATAGATGAATGGAACAGAATAGAGATCCCAGAAATAGACCCAGATAGATAGAGTCAACTGATCTTTGACAAAGGAACAAAATCAATACAATGGAATAAAGTTAGTCCTTTCAACAGATGCTCCAAGAACAACTAGACATCCACAGGCAAATATGAATCTAGACACAGACCTTAACTCCTTCACAAAAATTAACTTAAAAAGTATCACAAGCACATATGTAAAATGTAAAACTGTAAAAATCCTAGAGGATAACATTGGAGAAAATCTAGATGACCTTGGATTTGGTGATGACCTTTCAGCTAAAACACCAGAGGTGTGATCCATGAAAAGAAAGAATTTATAAGCTAGACATCATTAAAATAAAAATTCTCCTCTGAGAAGAATAATGTTAAGAGAATAAGAAGACAAGTCACAAACCAGGAAAAATATTTGCAAAAGACATATCTAATAAAGAAATGTTATCTGAAATATACAAAGAACTCCTTAAATTCAGCAATAAGAAGATAAACAACCTGGTTAAGAATGGACCCAAGATTTTAAGAGACACTTTACCAGAGAAGATGTACAGATGACAAATAAGCATATGAAAAGACATACCACCTAAAAGTCATCAAGGAAATGCCAATTAAAAAGGACAGTGAAATACCACTACATATTTATCAGAATGGCCAAAATCCAGAACACTAACACCAAGTGCTGGCAAGGGTGTGAAGGCACTAGAACTCTCGTTGATTGCTGGTAGGATCAGGTGCAAAATGGTAGAGCTACTTTGGAAGACAACTGAAGGTTTCTTTTTCTTTCTTTCTTTTTTTTTTAATTATGTTCAGTTAGCCACTGTATAGTACATAGTTTTTGATGTGGTGTTCAATGATTCATTAGTTAAGTATAACACCCAGTTGTCACCATAGCATGTTCCCTCCTTGATACCCATCACCCTGGAACCCTCTCCGCTTATCCCCCTCCACTTTGAAACCCACAGATTATTTCCCACGGTTCATAGTCTCTCATGGTTCACCTCCCTCTCTGATTTCCCCCTTTTTGGATTTCCTTCCCTTCCCCTATGATTCTCCATGCTATTGCTTATGTTGCACATATGAGTGGAACCATATGATAATTGTCTTTCTCTGCTTGACTTCACTTCACATAATCCCTTCCAGTTCCATCCATGTTGATGCAAATGGTGGGTATTCATCATTTCTGATGTCTGAGTAATATTCCATTGTATATATGTACCACATCTTTATCCATTTGTCTGTTGAAGGGCATTTCGACTCCTTCCACAATTTGGCTATTATGGACATTGCAGCTACGAACATTGGGGTACATGTGCCCCTTCTTTTCACTACATCTGTGTCTTTAGGATAAATACCTAGTAATGATGATTTCTTACAAAACTAAACATATTCTTATCATATGATCCAGCAATTGTTTTCCTTGGTATTTACCCAGAGGAGTCCACATAAAAACCTACACACAGATACACACAGATCTTATACCAGCCTTATTCATAATTGCCAAAAATCAGAAACAACTAAGACATCCTTCAGTAGATGAATGCATAAATAAACTGTGGTACAATCAGACAATGGAATATTACTCAGTTCTAGAAAGAAATGAGCTATCACGCCACAAAAAGACATGGAGGAAAATTAAGTGCATATTAGTAAGTGAAAGAAGCCAGTCTGAAAAGGATACATACTGTATGATTCCATCTATATTACACTTTGGAAAAAGCAAACTATGGAGACAGAAAAAAAAAAAAAACAGTAGTTGCCAGGATTAAGGGTGGGAGAATGAGATAAATAAACAGAGCACAGGAGTTTTAGGGCAGTGAATACACTCTGTACAATACTATGTCATATATTTGTCCAAACTCAGAATGTATAACACCGAGTGAACCCTGAAATCACTATGGACTTCGGGTGCTTGTGATGTGTCAACATAGATTCATCAGCCATAAGAAGTGTGCAACTCTTGTGAGGGATGTTGATGATGGGGGGATCTGTACATATGGGGGAGGAGGGAGATATAGAAAAACTCTGTACCTTCCCCTCACTTTCATTGTGAACTTTAAACTACTCTTAAAAAAATAGTCTTTTATACTGAAATAAGTGAAGAATTTGCATATCATTGCCCTCGTAGGAAGAATCACGATCACTAAAATGTAAGAAACATTTCCTCATATTTCCCATTTGTATGGAACATGGAGATATTATCGCTGCCTTGACTCACTTGCTCCCTATGGTGGTTGGGCTCCATGAAGCCTGAATAGAGCCTGAGTTTTCTTGTCTAAAATATAAGTTGATAAGTGTGAACTGTTCCTAGAGATCCAACAGGTCACAAAAGAAGTAATAGGGAAAGAACTAAGGTACAAAAACAAGGCTCCTTCCTAGAAATTCAAATCTAGTTTGAAGTAAAAGTTATTGAAGTTTGGGGTGTGTCTGAGTATTGCCTCAGCACAGGGTTCTTAGAGCTTGTGACAACTTTATGCTCTAGAAAGTATGTGTGTGTAAATGATTCAGGCTGAGTTTAAAGGTTTGCAACAGGGATTGCATAAGATATTGTGAAAATTGTATGGAAAATGATCTTAAGTATTATTTTATTTCATTTTATTCTGAGTTCAGTTCAAGTATAGAAATCTTCATAGTTATAAAGGTCTATAGTGAAACCATTTTATCACTGCTCAGAACTGATTAGTCTGCTCTACACATACGTACCCTCCCGTCTCATTTGTCCATCAACAAGTCCTCAGTTATCCAGTGACACTTTGATAAATACACATGCATACACATACAGACTCACATTCATGCACTCACAATCCCAAACATAAGCCTTATTGTTTTAAATTATTTTACTTCTCAGAATGATGAAGATCATGCAACAGGTAGCCTGGCAGATGTTCTGATGCTCAGATTTTGATCTCCATCAGTAAGAAACATATCTCAGAGAGGTAAACATTTTAAAAGCTATAAGATTAAATTAAATTCATTTAGAAGCTCTACTGTGTCCTCTATGTAGCTATGACTTTTGTCTCTTGTTGCCTTGAAGCTGAGCATAAAAGAGCAAATAGTGGCCTCTCTCCAGTCCAAAGAGACTAGAAAAACGATCACACAACTACCAATTTTCGCTTTGTTGAAAAGAAAATATTTCCATTCTAGAACAGAAAATGAGTAAAAATAATCTAAGACTCTTTAACGACTACACTGATGTCTTCTGTATTTCTGAAACAAAGAAATTGCTAAGATACAATTTATACAACCTCAGGCCTGAAGAACTGTGTCCTGTGTGCTAAGATCAGGGCATCTTTCTGCTGCCACCTTGCCTGTCTCAAAACTATTCTCCACATTGTGAAAAACAGATGCTTAAAAACCATCATTAACTCACTCCACATTACTCAAAGGATAAACCCAAATCCTTAGTTGGTTTGTTAACCCATCAATCATTAGTCCTCACTCACCTCACACCCCTCCCTCCCATCATCCATCTGTTTGTTTCATGCTTCTTTATCATCCAGCCAAACTAAGTTTTCTCGGTTATATACCTATGAGTATTCCTTCTGCCCAGATCACTGTCTACCCTCACCATAGACATTCACTTAACTAACTCCAGTGCATTCTTCAGGTCTAATGTATACCTTCCAGATGAAGTCTTTATTTAGTCCTCAAAATAAGTGGCTCCCCTTTTTGTGTTCTCATGGTGTCAAGGCACGTCTGTTTCATAAGCTTTTATAGTCATATATTTAAAGTAGTGTTTCTCAGATGTTCGATGTGCATACGAATTAAAAGGAGATCTTGTAAAAATGCAAATTCTGAGTCATGGTTATGCCAATGCTGCAGTCCCCAGAGCGCATACCGAGTAGCAAGGACAGAGTCTGTGTGCCTCTCTGGAACTGAGGACAGGATCCTCAGAGCCTGACACACAGCGGGCCCTGAATTCACAGCCACTGAATGAATTTCAAAAGTGATAGAATCTTGACAATATAACATTTTCATTTTAAAATACAAGCAGTGCTTACAAATAACCATTTGAGAAGAACTTTGTTAACTTCCTTCCCTCCTTCTGTATCTTGGTATTTCCATCTGTTCTTTCTGTCTCTTTGCCTCAAAGTTCACTGGTATCTGGAATTTCTACCCAATCCCTTCCTTTTCCTCTATCCCTTTTACACCCTGGAGGCATTTTCAATGATAGCACTTCTGAAAATAAAAAGCAAAGGAAGCCAGGGAAGAGAGTTGAAGAAAAATGAACCTCTGTTCTCTTCTTCAGATATCAGTTGAGTTACTTTCTTTGTTTCTCCAAATCTAACCTCCTTGGACCTAATCAGACTATTTATCAAAGAATCCCAAACATATACCTAGACCCCACTTTAGTGTTATAATGCACAAAACTGTTGTCTGTATGTTCCTCAGAAATGGAAATGAACCTTGTATTTATTTACACTTTGTCTTTTAGCATCTAAGTAAATATTTGACTATGTTTTAAGTCGTATCTTTAAATGCATAGTTATCCAGGGCTTGAGGGAGATACACACTTAGTCATTTTGTTTTGAATATTTTCAGTTGGGTATATTGTGAACATGGAATAGTGAAAATACCACAAGCTCCCTGTCATCCCCTTACCACCCATATGCCCAACCCTTATCTCAAACACGAAAAGTAAGCAATGTTGAGAGCAGTCACTGTAGCAAAAGACGAAAGCAGTGAGAACATTTTATGAGTTATTAATTCTCCTACCAGGTGGACAGTCTTTAGGGAGTAAAGGCACTGCTCTTCTCCATTAGGAGTAGATATGTTTCCAAGCAGACAAGAACCATCAAGAAAAACACTGTGTTTTGGAGATACTGTGTACTCAGAAACCTCAGACATCTGTGGTTTTAGGAAACCACAGATAGACTTTTCTAGTAGGACATACAACTCTATTAGGCTTCAAGTATATTTAATGTCCAAAGGAACAATATATGGAAGAAGGTTAATTAATCTGGATTTCTATATAAACTTTATGGTATGACTTACAGAGTCCTCACTCGCTCTCTCGCTCTGTATGTGTGTGTGTGTATAAGATATAGTGTATATCTATATGTTAAGTAAAATGTGTATTTGTATATATATCTAATTCATACCTTACATGTTTGCATTTCATGTATATATGCATATGTATATACTCTATATTTTCATTTCTTCACAACTAAGGCTTGAAAGAGATCAGAAGAGAAACTCTTGGTAAATGTGTAGATTTGTTCACTAACAAGTTGTTAGACATACAAATTTCTATTAAAAATGCCTTCTCCAAATATAAAGAAAATAGAACAATTATACTAGGGTATGAATTCTAGCAAATTAAAAGAAATATCTGCATGATCTTTGTTTCTAATTATCTGACAGAGTGCTATTAATAACTTTTCTGGAAGCCACAAAAACAGCAGTAGCACATAATTATGATGCAGTCTTAAAATATAACACAATGCACTTTTTCTATGGCCTTCAAGATCACATTGGCAACAGAGCCTACCATAATGAACTGTCCTGAAGCCTTGGGATGCTGTTTTCAGCAATTTTGCATTTGAGTATTCAGATTTTACAGTGTGTGAAGTCTGACTTGAATGTACTTCTCCACAGTAACTTCAAAATATTCACATTTTGCTCTTCTCAATTTAAGGCCATATTAATTTTTAAAAAGCATATAGATTATTGCAAATAAATAGCTATTGTGAGCTAAAAACTAAATACAACCCCAAGAGCCTTCAAGATATGCTAATGATTATTTTGTCCAGTAGATTTAATTTTGCTGCAGCACACACATAAAAAAAAAAAGGTACTTCACACTTCCCATGGTTCTCAGTGGTAAACATATTAAAGATATCAGCCCATAATTATCAGTACACAATTATTCACTTATCTACTTGCAATCAAGAAAATATCATTCCTTGTCTTTTGATACTTTGTTTCACATCAGGTAAGCATATGTCAAAAGCATTAAGAAAATTGTAAATTACACATTTGATGATTCAATAGGAGAAAATCTCTTAAACACTCTCAAATTCTCTGTAATTTTCTTTCTTTTTCAAATGTTACACTCCTTTTGCTATTTTTATCTTAATTAGAAAAAGTAGTTGGGGCATGTGGGTGGCTCAGTCAGTTAAGCGTCTGACTTTTGATTTCAGCTCAGGTCATGATCTCAGGGCCATGAGATCAAGTCCCAAGTCAGGCTCCCCACTCAATATGGAGCCTCCCTGAGATTCTCTCTCCCTTTACCTCTGCACCACCACCCTCATCCCACCGCTTAAAATCTCTCTCATCTTCTGTTTTGGTGGAGTTGAGTTCTGTCTCTCTTCCCTAATGCAATTGCCTTTCATAAACTCTTCCTTGCCTGTTTAATTCTGTCTGGTACAGTTTTTCTAGGACATTATTTAGACCTCAAGCTTATGGGAAAGGAATCTGGATCAATGTAAATAAATTTTTTAAAGATTTTCATGAATATTCTAAGACATAGAAATACCTTATCTAGGTTTTATACCTTATGAAAATAGTTGTGTGTGTGTGTGTATGTGTGATTAAGCAAAACTGTACATGTGAAAATTCAAACACTAGAAACTATAGCTTAAAGCAAAATGTTTCCCATCCTTTTTAGAAAGGATCAGATTTTAACCACCACCTCCCCCCATGAGATTTTAAAACCATGGATATGTAGTATATCTATTTATATACGGTGGCTTTTGGAATAACATAAACTATTGTAATAGCCAGGATTTGTTTGGCCCTCAGGAACTAATTTCTGCACTCATGGAATGATAGTGCCCACTGAAACTAAATGGATTAAAGCACAAAATAAAAATCACCTAAAATCCCACACCACAGAGGTGACTATTATTTGCATTTAGACAAATATCCTTTCATATATCTTGCTAACAATATTTTATATGCTTTCTTTTATCCATTCATGTTCTTTAATAACATAATATGGACATATTTCCATATTAATATAAATAGACATCATCCTTTTCAAGTATATACCATAATTTCTTTAATTAATTCAATGTCCTATAACATAACTTCTTTTTCTATTTTGTATTTTAAATAACGCTATGATGAATATCATGCCATTTCATATTTGCACATTTGATGTGATTTTTTTGTAGAAAATTTCATATGATAACTTTATGTAGAAAAATATAAATACAAGGCAAACAAAACACACACATGATACCAGGATGCCTAAATCAACCAAACTACTATGAAAGTGTGTAAAGATAACTTATCCTTATAATGTATCCTAGGTTTATAGCATTCCTTTAATTTGGGCATAATAAATTAGATGGTTGCAGAAAATAAGATTAGAATTATATGTAGAACTTCCATTATATATATCATAAGGAAATAGTAGATAAATGCTTTATATTTAAAGACAGAATATATTGTCTTACTCATATAGTAAACTATTGTTCTACCACTCCTCCTTCCAAAAAAATTAAGCTAAATTGTCATTTGGGTCAGGGAACACATCTATCTATAACATTTATTTGTAAAAATTTAGACTTTGTTTCTCTCCATATGTAACTGTATGAAAATAGGCTATCATGTAAGGTAAGTAATTGAATTTCTAATTTTCTAAGCTCACAATTTTATGTGTATACATATCCTCCATTTGCCAGTTTTAAACCTAAATATATACTTCCATTTTGTAAAATTAAAATAACACTTGGAGAAGACATAAGCTACAGAATGCAAATGGGGAGTTCTTTTGTGCTTTTCTTGTGTAGTGTTTTCTCACTTTTCACCTTGTTATCTACAAAACATGGAAGTGCCTGATGTGATATCATTAGAAATAATTTCTTGAAGTATAATTTCTGGATAAAAAGTCATGTCTTTCAACATTTCCTTAGCTATTCAGGGTCTCTTCTGATTCCATACAAATTTTTGGATTATTTGCTCCAGCTCTTT